TTCCCCGGCAGAGCATCTGGTGGATTCGAACCGTGCGCCTCTGGGATTGTAGTTGCAGCTCCTTCCCACTAGGCCACCAGAGCTCCCCTAAAAAATGATTTTTGACATGCCAGAAACAAAATATCAGCATTCCAGAAGCTCCATCAAAGGTACATAAACCAATTAAATGGAACAACTCGAACTCTGTAAGAGAAAAATTAGATTTTTGCTTCTGCCCAAAATAGAGTAACTAGGATTGAACTGATCATTCTATCTAACAACACACGCAAAAACGCTGGGCATAATATAGGAAGCAAGACTCTTATATTTTGATATCACACCAACAAAGAATGGGAAGATCCTTAGAAGACAAGAGGCAATAACATGCACCTTGTGGCCCATAGCTTTGAGAATTTCCATGCTACAAAGGGAAATGGGAACTCCAGAGAAAGCTGAAGGTCTTTCCAAGTTGAGGAAAAACTAGGCGCCTGTGAAGAGCAAGTCTGTTAGAAATCACAAACACGGTACTGAAGAGATGAGACTACACAGAGAAAATCCTGAAAAATCTGCAGAGGGTCCCCTGTAAGTCTTAAAGTGAGTACTAATCAGTACAGGAGTAAAGGAAACGACTTCCCAGGCTCACAAACATTGCACAAGTCAGAGTCTAAACCTCCCTGTTCATAGGCAATGGATAGAGGAATCTGAGGGTTTCATCTCAGTAGTGGAGCAAAATGAGGTTTACATTACATGCTGCTGTGGTCTCATTTAACATAATTCAAACATAAAGATCAGTGTTTCCAAGTAATTTAACTGTATCACAGAACAGAGCTCAAGAACATCTGTAAGAATAAAGAATATACAACATGTCAGGATAATGTCACAAATTCTGATAACCAATCTAAAATCATGAGGTACACAAAGAGGCAGGAATATATTAAATAATATACTGACAATCCCAACAAATACAGGATGAGAGAAATTCTATGTAAAATGACTCAAGTTTTTCAACAAATTAATTACATAAAAAGAGTAAGGAAACTATCATAAATATAAAAGGAAGTTTTAAAAACATCAAGACATGAATGTTATTTTGGATTCTGATGTGAAAAAATCATTTCAAACATCAGAAAATGGAAATCAGTGCACAGATTGGATGACATTAAGGAATATAGTGTATTGTGTTAGGTCTGATAATGATACTATACTTGTAACTTTTTAGACATCCATAACACAGGATAAATAAATATTGACGTAATTTTGAGTGAAATGATACGATGGTCTTAATATTTATCTGAAGAGTCAGGAGGTGAGAAAAAGCATGTAGATGTGTAGAAGATTAAAAATAAATGGCAGAATACTTATAAATTTTTTTTCTCCTTAACATCTTTTCCCCAAAGACTGATATGGCTTAAGAAAAATCGTTGACTCACGTGGAGACTTGCTTATGTTGTAGCTATTGAAGAAACAAGGCTTCTGTGCATTTCCACCTTGTTTATCTACTTGATGAGACTGAGTAGCTTCCCTTAGTTGAGATAATATTTGTCTACCACTGCGCTGGGAAGAGGCATTCACTTCAAATATCTACAAGAGCAATGCGAAAAAGGGAAAAATATATTTCTTTTAAGGGTAATCACACCTTCACATTCTTCACTGTAGCAATACTGACCTTAAAACCAAGCTCCTGAGCACAGGCATACACGGCAGCAGTCTTCCCCACTCCTGTTGGCCCAGTTATTAGCACCGTATTACAAAGGCGACTCTCTTCTTCATCATCGGAACTGCCTTTAAAATCTATGCTATCTGACAGATCTGAAAAATTATTTAAAGGCATACAAAAAGGATGACTGCTCAAGCAGCAATTCTAGCTCACAACATTCAATAATCAAATCACATAAAATTCTTTCCAACAAATGCTAGAGATCTTATTTACGAAAACTAAAAAGCCAAACATAAAATAGCAACAAAGAAATTTCATGAAACTTCCCAGTTAGTATAATTCTAAAAATGTTTGGTGAAACTGGAGGGAAAATGACTCAAAATACCTTCCTGTTTTTCATCCTTTTTTCCCTTCAAATTCTGTCTTTCTTCCAATTCAGCTCTTCTTTTCCAGTCTTTCAACCAACTGCCAGAAGAAAATGACTGTTAATAAATTATTAATTAATCAAATACAAATACCTCCTAGACTATATGTTTAAATTACTGTTGGAGGAAGTTATGGCATATTGGCATTTAAACTCTCTGTGTTTCTGAGTCAACTGAACAAATTATTCTTACATGGGTGTGAATATTTTTAAATGAAGTAATTTTTTTCCTAAATAGATTATAAATGCAAGAATACGTATTGCATCATGTTTATATTAGCTCTTAAAATGGAAAAACCCAAAACAACTATGGGATATCATATCACCCCAGTAAGAAGAGCAAAATTTAACAGAACAGCAAACAACAAATGTTGGTGAGGTTGTAGAGAAACTGGAACCCTTACTCACTGTTGGTGGGAGTGCAAAATGGTGCAACCACTATGGAAAGCTGTACGGTGCTTTCTCAAAAAAGTTGCAAATAAAAATACCATTTTGAACTAGCAATTCCACCACTGGGAATTTACCCTAAAGAAACCAGAACTGCCACCCAAGCAGATATATGCACATGCATGTTTATTGCTGTTTGTTCACAATAGCAAAGAGTTGGAAACAACTGAAGTGCCCATCAACAAACGAATGGATAGAGAAGTTGTGGTATATTCAAACAATGGAATATTATGCAGCACTGAAAAAAACAAAAAAAACCTCATGAAATAGTATACAAAATTGGTGACCCTGGAGGGTATTATGATGAGTGAAATATCTCAGTCACAAAAAGACAAATATTCTAAAAGAGCCATATATGTAAAGTACTGTAACAAAGGAGCTTCTGGTCCCACAGTTCTTCAATTAAAAGAAAATTTCAACTGAAAAAAAAAAAGACAAATACTGCATAGTGCATCTGTTATAGAACAGGACTGATATGGGGGTGGGAGGGAAACTAAGAAAAGAAGGGATAAATAATGTATATGTTATTGAGACAGACAAGGGAGAGAACTGTATAAAAGGAATACATGATTAGGTAATATTGACATAACAAGAGTCCAGAATAAGAGTTGCATAGTAAAGTGTTCGGGGAGGGCGGGAATGACACACATGGGACACACTGTATAACAATGAAAGAAATTTTTTTCCAAAGAAAAAAGCAAACCTGTAGGGGAGGAAGGACAGGGAGGAAAATGTGCAACAATGAATGAATGGAAATCCAAGTTCTTTATAAACTTTAATTAAAATCTTGAAAAAAAACTCCAAAACCCTAAAAGTATTACAGTTGGGGGGCAGGGAAGCTCAGTACACTTTACTTAAGAACACCTTGCTTTTTGCAGCAATGAATGAATGGAAATCCAAAATCTCTGTAAATGCTCATTAAAATTATTAAAAATAAATAAATATTGGCAGTATTCTTTAGCCTGTACTTCCATTAAATATTAAAAAAAAAGGAAGACCCTGCTTTTAAAAACTTATTTAATATACTCAAATTTTAATCAAAAGGTTGGAGGCTTGAATCCACCCAGAAACACCTCAAAAGAAATGTCTGGGAATCTAATTCTGAAAAATCAACCAGAGAAAACCCTAAGAAGCATATTCTGCTCTGAACTCATGAAGTTACTGTGAATTAGAACTGACATGACAATCTATAATAAAGCAGGACATTAATAATGAAAAAGAACTGAGGTAAACTGTGGAATGACATGAAAGATGTCTAATACACACTAGAAAGTATCAGCAGAAAGCTTGAGTTCTATTCTGAAGCCTGAGTTGAAATCACAGCTTCAATCACTTCCTAGCTGTGTGAGAGCTGGATAATTAATTTTTCTGAACCTCAGTTTCTTCTCATCCATGAGATAATCCTAGAAGGATTACTGGTACTTAAAGGATCATTCTAAGGATTAAATAAACTTAGAACAATGTAAGTACTTAAAACAGTATCAGCTTCACAGTCAGCTATTATTAAAGGGCCAATAATGGAGTCTGGACCCATATATCCAAAATCATCTAATATTTCTATTTTAAAAGCTATACATTCCTACTAAGTGGGATAGATAGAGATCATAATAGCATTCAAATTTGCAGTTTTCAGAACTTTATGGATTCAGGTATTTAAGAAAGGGGCTATGGACCCCTATTAGTAGAACTATGATTGCATTTGTTAGAAACAAAAGACTTCTTATACACATAAATGTTTTTCTGGAAAGTTTTAAAAAGACTAAGATGAGCCTGATCCAACCTATGGCATTTTCAACTGCTTCTCACACATCTGAAAGCTGGACAATGAATAAGGATGAGATAAGAAGAATCTATGCTTTGAATTGCAGTGCTGGAGAAGTGTGCGGAATATCCCATGACCTGCCGAAAGAACACACCCGTTGGAACTGGAGGAATGGCTCCTTAGAGGCATGGACGGTGAAACCTCCCCTCATATGTCATATGCTTTGAGAATGTTGTCAGGAAGTGTCAGTCCTTGGAAAAAGGCATCATGGTAGGAAAGGTGGAGGGCCAGAGAAAGAAGAAAAACCTCAACAAGTTGAATTGACAATGACTGTAACAATGTCAATGACCACGAAGATGTCACAGGAAAGGACAAAGTTCATACTGGTTGCTCACAGGGTCTGTGAGTTGCTGTTGATGCGACAGCATCTAACAACCACCTCTGTGTACTTAGAATTCTTCTATTAAAAGACTTTACCATGTGATAATTTACTTTACAATTTTAAAAATTTTAGATAAACTTAAAAAAAACCTATATAGGACTAATTTCATAAACAGTTTCTCAATATCCTTATAAATTTCACAAACCTATATAGCTTTTTTATGGCTAGCTCATTGCCTATGAGCTCACTGGAGTTCTGAGGCTGATACTTTTCAGTCCATAGCACATCTTCAATTCCAGAATCTAAAGCAAAAAATATATTGTTAAGATATTCTTTTCTGACATAAACATATAGTTATTACTTATTTTTACAATGATATTACAATATAACCATAGGTATTTGTGTATTTAATACTTACAAAATGCCAAGAAAAAAAAATTCTCAAAACTTTATTCAATCAAAATATATACTAAGAAAGTGATTATCAATCTAGAAAGAATGGGTAAAGGGACAATATTAGAATTGCAATTAACAACTTTGAATAGGATATGTATAACTGAAAGACAGAAAAGAGGAGGAGAAAAAATACTAGGGCAGCAGAAGTTAGTGGACAGATGGACAGGTTAAAGGAGTGGGAGAAAGTGTGAATAAAGGAACTAATCAATTATAATTATAATATATATATATAATTGAATAAAAACCAATCAAGGGGTAATCCCTAAGGAGTAGCCACAGAAAGTGTCATGGAAAAAAAAAAAAGAAGAAAGTGTCATGAAAGTGAGGTTTAAAAATAAGCTTCACGCACATACTTCTGGATGTGCTTTAGGGGAGGGGTGGGCGGGCAGGTGCATTCCTGTAACCGAGACTCTTGAACTATATGATGGAGTCTTCAATATTTAGATGTATATGAAACTTTTGTTAATGTACTGTACACTGTATTGGCTGTGTGAAGTAAACTAAAACTCTACCACTTTGGAGTCTACTAGAGTGTAGGAGACCAAAGTGGGAAGGGCTTTAGAGTACTGATAAATGCCTTTGGTGTACTTTACAATCCTGTGTAAAGTTAATTCTTGTACCTGGATCAAAACAGTGTTAAATTGTGGCAATATTTGCACTTTGGAGATGAGTACACACAGTATGACCACACTCTGCAAATGCCACTTTTAAAGCTGTAATAGACTTTGGACCTGTTCTTTGACAAGGATATGTCATATTTAAATTTTTACATTCATCCTGGCTACAGGTAGAACTGGGGAGGGGAGAGTGTAATTTTTTGTGGGAATTTTCATATGAAAAGAAACAAGTCATTATTTATAAAATAGGCTTGTCTCGAAGTGTTTTTTCAGACTTGGTATTTAATGTGGGATTTAACTTTATTTTGTTTTTAATAGTAAATCTGGATGTAGACTGACAGACATAGCTTAATGTCTTAATAAATTTGAAGATAAAAAAATAAGCTTCAAAATTTTTATAGCCATTAATGAAATATGACAATTTTTAGTATAAAAAACTAAAGTCTAAAAAGCGAAGACACATAATCTTTAAGGAAATAATAATAAAAAAAAAACCAAAAAAAACCCAACATAATCTTTAAGGAAGTTTACCTTTTGATCACTGTAAAACTGATTACAATATCCTAATAAGTTAAACTGGTTAAATAGAAAGATATGTTGCAGTCCTCATTGAGAAGACTGAAAAAAAGAAAAACCCAGTCTGTTGCCATTTAGTCGATTCTAATTTATTCTCAGCTTGTAGGACAGGGTAGAACTGCCCTATAAGATTTTCAAGGCTGAAATCTTTACAGAAGCAAACTGCCATGTATCTCTCACACGGAGCAGCTGGTGAGTTTGAACCGCTCACCTTTGCACTGATAGCTAAGAGCTTAACCAATGCACTACCAGTGGTTACCATTACTTTTCTCTGAGAAGACTAAATACTGTAAAGATGCCAATTCACTCCAGATGAATCTATAAACTAATGCAAAATCAACACACCAATAGAAATTTTTTTTAATTTATTTTTTTAATTAAATTTTACTGTTTTTTCTGTGTGTGTATACTGTCAAATCAGATCTGACTGGTACTGGAGGAGACTGTCCCTCCCTCCCTGGCAGAGCATCTGGTAGATTCGAACCGTTCACCTCTGGAATTGCAGGGCCACTAGGCCACCAGAGCTCCCCTGCCAATAGAACTTTTTTTTTTTTTAAGGCAAGTGGTTTATTAACCCAGACATGTTTTCCATTAGAACTTTTAAAGGAAGGGAATATGCCAATCCATTTAAACTGAAAAGCATTAAAAGATATTTTAGGGGAGCTCTGGTGGCCTAGTGGCAAGAAGCTGCAACTACAATCCCAGAGGTGCATGGTTCGAATCCACCAGATGCTCTGCCGGGGAAGGAGGGGCAATCTCCTCCCGTACCAGTCAGATCTGATTTGACAGTACATGCACACAAAAATAAGAAAATAAAATAAAAAAAATGTTAAAAAAAGATATTTTAACAAACTGATTAAATTTGTTGTTGTTGTTGTTGTTGTTATGTGCCGTCGAGTCGCCTGCGACTCATAGCGACCCTATGTACAACAGCCCTAAACTCTGCTCTGTCCT